AATATAGCTCTGTGGCATAAGCTCTGCCTGGCAAGCGCAAGGTCCTGAGTTCGATTCCCTAAGTTCGATTGTACTAAAATATTAAAAAAACAAAACAAAACAAAACACTACTTTAGCACTAATAGTGTGTGAAATTTTTTGAAAAATTTAGTCTCATGTTATTTACCTCATGGACAGGAGTTTAGTTAATAACTTCATGATACAGTCAGAATTTGAACAAATTGTTGAAACAACTATGGGGGTTAAAAACCAAAGCTGTGTTAATCAATAACCCATATAAGTCAAATATAGCTATGACTACTCATGGAATGCATGTTAATTAAGTTTTAAAAGAAACAAAGCAGGGCTGGGGATATAGCCCAGTGGTACAAGTGCAAGCGCAAGGTCCTGAGTTCAATTCCTAGTACCAAAAAAAAAAAAAAAAAAAAAATTAAAAAAGAGAAGAAAATCAGAGAACATTATATTATTTGTATACACTTTACCATTGAAAACATAAGCAGATAGTATCTTATATAATTAAATATCAATATGAATATTTGCAAATATTTCCTGAATGTTTATTGGGAATAAATTCTGACTAAATGTTTTTCCCTCACTGTGTCTTTTGTCTCTCATAACAAGTCCGAACGAGAGAAATTCTTACCATTATGCAGAATTTTAAAACTAGAAACTTTAAGTTTATTCTATTTCTGCCGTTCAAACTTTTAACTTATCATTGCCTTAGTTACTTGTTTGCTTGCTGAGACACCTGACACCTGAAAATTAACGGAGAGGTTTATTTTCGCTCACAGTTGGCGGAGATTGCCGTTAACAGCCCGGAGGACCCAGGGCACGGCGTTCCAGCAGGGGGCCTGGCGGAGCGGAAGGAGCTCGGGGCAGGATCCAGGGAAGAGGGCGGGAGATACAGCTTTTCCGGGCTACCGCCTCCACCAAGCTTTGCCTCCCAACATCATAAACTCATCAGCGGGCAAAGCTACGGGTGAGTATCGCACCCAGATGACGCAGTCACCTCCCCAAATGCCCAGCAAGGAGCACCGGAAGCCTTGTGGGGGCATCTAGATGTAAACTATAGTACCTACACGCTTTCTTCGCCAGAAAGAAGCTGTCTTGGTTACTTTTCTCTTGTTGGTGAGACAAAATACCCAACGCCCAAAATGAAGAAAGGAAAGGTTTATTTAGCTT